TTGATGCCTTGGTTGTTTTAGCTGGTTTTATTTCAATGTATAACGCAAAAATGAACCCACAATGTTCAAAATGTAAAGCAGCAATGAGGAAATATAACTATTCTGTCAAAGAGATAGAACGTATGCGAAACGACTATGCTGACTTAAAGAAAGAAGTAGAGAAACCAGCAGAAGATAAAATGGACATGTTAGCATTTCTGAACAAAAACTATCCAACTGCTGACGATTTCCTATTATCTGATGTCAAGAAGAAGTATAAAGAAACTTTCGGCATTGTTAAAATTTTTGATGTACTAAAAGAAGAAATTAAAGCTACGAAATTGTTTAGGATTTCAAATATACATCGTACAATTCATGTAAAACGCTTGTGAAAAAAAGAGGTGAATAATTAGGTGAAAAAAGAGGTGAAATCTCACCTCTTCACCTAAAATATATTTTTATTGAATTCAGCAACAAAATTCTGAGTAAAATAATTTTTAGGGCATGTGTCAAACCGTTGAGTTTTCACAAAATTTAAAAAATAACGTTTACCATGTGAAACGTTTATAAAATAACTGGGGTAGAAATGAGGTTAGATATCGGGTTAGATCTAACCATCTACCCTAAAATATATTTTTGCTGAATTCAGCACAAAAATCATGAATTTCATTAGTTAGAAAAATAAAGTTAGTTTTTTATAAAATATTTTTTTTATCCGGAATATAAAGACAGATATGTCAACAACAGAGAACACAACAACAGTTATAGTCCATGAAGCTATAAATGAAGAATATGAATGGATACAATATAACAAACAATTGCGTCTAATTCGTTCGGTCAAAGACGATATGTACCAAATGCAAAGTATTTTGACAGCATGTTTTGCACCCGACAATAAGAAACCACAAGACTGGTTTAGGAACCAAAGCACTATTGAACTATTAAATGAAGCTGAAAATTCGACTACGAGAAATCCGGTAGTCGCAAAAACTCGAGTGGGAGAAAAACCCCAGTCGCCAAAACTCTATGAAAATCGTGAAAAATTGCCAAACGGTTTGAGAGGATATTATGTACATAGACTTCTTGTAAATGCTGTTGCAATGTGGGCTTCGCCTCGTTATGCTTGGTATATTTACAGACTTCTTGACGAAATTCATAGACAAGAACGTGAAGAGATGGAAAACAAGCTTGAAGCAAAAGACAAAAGCATTCAGAAAAGAATACCACGTTCGGTACCAAAAGGAAAGGAAAAGAACTATAAGTATATGATTTATACTGAAGAGTTGGAGAAAGAAGAAGACAGTGACATGGTTATGTTGCATTTAGTCAGAAGAAACAACAAAAGCTTTTACGACCTTGCTAAGATTTACAAATCTGACAGAAATTGGTTCTATCGCGAAAACTTACCGATTTCAATGACCCCAAATGAAGATGTGAAACAAATAGTTCAAGATACTTTACCTCAAACACACTATGATATTAAAGGTTGTACAATTCTTACCTTCAAAGAAGATTTGCCATTGTTAAAGGAAAAAATAACAGAGTATTTTGACAACTTCAAACAAGTAGAGTAAATTGCACTCTTTATTTTTACGCTTGACTTCAGATGGCTCAGGTAGCTCAATGAGGTAAATTGCCTCGTCAAATCCTTCTGGCATTCCGAGTCCTTCCATCCGACAGGAAAATATTTTCCATCCGACAGGAAAAGTTTTTCCATCCGACAGGAAAAATTTTTCCATCCGACAGGAAAAATTTTTCCAGTTGTCCGTCCGTAAACCATTCAAATTTTCGAAAATTGAGAACTTTTTGGTCGAATTTCAGAAAAATTTTCCATCCGACAGGAAAAGTTTTTCCATCCGACAGGAAAAATTTTTCCTTCCGACAGGACACAAACGGATGACTGACGTTCCTCTTCCTGAATGCCTTCCAAAGCCAGAAGAACCGACAGCCCCAGCACCACAACAGACTTACTAAGACTAAACACTTACATTTTTCAAGCTTGACTTTTTACAATTTGAACTTTGTTCGCGTAGATATGAATTCTGAAAGAAGTATGAGGGTCTTGTATGACTTTGTACTTCTCCCATAATTCATATCTGTCAAACTTACCTGCCATGGACTCTTTCATAAGTTCCATGAAATCGTCTTCGGACAATCTGGGGAAAAGTATTATGTCAGTAAGTATTCTTTTAACATCCTTACTTAAACTCTTTGCTGTCTGTACACATATTACGACTGAAATGTTAAAGTGCCTAAGTTTCTTGAGAATTCGACACATGTCTTGTTCTCTATTCTTTAACAAAGGATGAGAGGCGAAATCATCTAAAATAAGAAGACACCTATGAGGGTACGTTTTCCAATCGTACGATTGCAATTTCTTCGAAATGTATTCTATCTCTTTCTGTTTGTTTCTGAAGTGTTTCTTCTCTAATATTCTCTGCATTTCCTCATTTGGGTCTTTAAACTTAGAATTTATATACTCATTTATAGCATTATATTTCAAAACTCTTCTTTGGTACTTCTTTATCCAATCTAACAACTCAGTATCCTTTATACATACTAACTTAGACTTCTTTATAATATCTTTGAACGAATTAACGGTTTGGTCAAATTGACCAGAAGTACTACAAATTACTACTAACTCATAGAATGGGTTCTTCTCATCTAGTTCTTGTTGTTGTGCAGCCATTTTAAGATAAGTGAAAGTCTTACCCGACCCAGGTGGTGCAATTAGACCTGTTATACCATTCTGAGCAAATAAGAACTTGTCATGTATGGGTTTTATCTGAGCATTTTCCAACTTCCTCTTGTTCTTGTTTAAAACATTCTCAAATTTCTTGTCAATGTCAGCAAACTTTTTTTCTAACATATTTTTAGAAAAATTAAAATTTTTATCTTTTAGAAAATGTCTAGCGATTCGCTATCTATATTCGAGACAAACTTTTTGACAGCAAAACATCTGTCGACCATAAAATCTTACATAGTGTAAACAAGAAAGGTGAATTTGTTCTAAAGTTCTGTTTCTGGGAATATGACAAGAACCATAAAACATTAAGCAGAGCAGTCTTAAAATTTGTCAATGACAGACTTGTTGACAGAGATGACGCCGATTGGAAAGATGAAGTCCAACAAAAGTTCTTAGAATGCAAAGAAGACACATGCGCTGTTCTTGAAGATGAAATAGAAAACAGAATAGATGAGCTATTAAAGGACAAAGAACTTTTACATAAATATGGTTCTGAGAAATTTGACGTCTCACCACCAGAAAGAGAAGAAGAGAGAAAAGAAAGTAGAAGAAGAGAAGAAAGAACCAGAGCCAATTCCACCGAAGAAGAAATTTGACATGTAAAAATAAAATTTTATTTTTAGAACATTTCTGGGTCAATGTCAATGTTCTCTTCCTCTTTAGGAGCAAACACCGGCTTAGACTCTAAAATCTTTTACCCAATTTACCTTGAACTTCTACAACTTTAGACTCATAATATTCATAGTCGTCTGTCTTCTTTGGTTCATAAGGTATAACAAGTTTGTATGCTTTGCCTTCTTTAAGGTTTGAAAACCTTCTGTCAAAACTTTCTTTGACTGTTAACAAACCTTCTATGTCTAAGTCTTCAAATTTCGCACCATTTTTAGTCACAATAGCAAACTTAACTGGTTCGATGTTCCAAACTTTGCTGAATGAAGACTTTTCAAAATGGTAGAAGTAAACATTCAAATATGTGAATGGGTCTAGTTCTTCTTTAAGTCCTGACATATACTTGTTTACTGAGATGAATTTTGTCATCTTTTCTATCGGATAAAAAATATTTTTTTTAAAAATTTACTCAGAAAAATTTTTCTTTGTATATACACCATTCTGAACATCTAAAAGACTTTTGACATTTGCCAAGAATGTACGTTTAGAAGCTGCCATATAACCATATTCTTGACAATATTGTTTATATTCATCATATAAAGACCTTTCATCTAATGACACAAAGTCAGTTTCATATATGAACAGTTCATATACACTCTTGTTTGCTTCTAACAATGTTTGTCTCTCTTCGGTATGTGGAATTTGTCTTGGATTGAACTTAGAATATCTAATGTCATGAAATATGAGAAAAGTGGTTGTAAAAGTCAGATGTCAAACATTCTGACAAAGCGTCAAATATTCAGTATCTTGCATATGAGAATCTGACGTTCTGACAACTACATATCTTCTGTCGGAACTTTCTAACTTCATCGGAACAGCATTGTTTGAAACCATAATGAAGTTTGCAACATTCTCACAAACTCTTTGGTCTTATACTTTCTTTCAACAACTCCAACTTTGTCTGTTTATAAGACTCTTCAAAGCATCTGAGTTCAAAATTTTTGTTGTATCTATACTTTGGAAGTTCATTGCAAACTATAAGTTTCATATTCTCAATTGAAGAGTTAAATTTACCACAAATGTTTTCTAAGTTTGTCATATTAGGGTTCGAATAACCTTCTAACAGTTTGCACAAGATATCTGTAAAGAATGTGTTCTTACCTGTTCCTTGTTTTCCAATTATAATGAGAGCAGTTTCATTTTAGCACTTGGATGTTGTAAGATGTTTGCAAACCAAATAAGATATACTCATAAACCTTTTCGTTTTCCATTGCATATAATTTCTTTGACATGGTCTAACCAAGCTTCTATAATATTTTCTTTCCATTCTACTTGTTCATATTTATATCCAGTGAAGATAGAATAGAAGTTTGGAGAAGGTGTATAGAACTTTATACCTCGAACTGAAAAATCTTCTAACTTTGACAATAAGATATCCCAAGCATCTAACATCTTCATGCCAACTTGTACGACTTTTATTTTCTTAAGTTTCTGTCTACATTCTTGTTCAGACACTATTGTTGCTCTTGGTTTGTTAAAGACAACATCCCATTCTTTCATGACATAACATTCTGGGGCAGAGTCGACATAAATGACTAAACGTTTCAAATTCTCGACTGCTTTGTTATAGTCTCGAAATGGACACATATTTCTGAATGCTTGGAAGTCATAAAAATCTGAAACATCTATTTGTTGTTCTTGAGCTATAATATTCTTGACTTTGTTGTTCCATTTGTTGCATTTGTTGTTCTTGAGCTATTTGTTGTTGAAGTTGTTCTTGTAATACAATACTTTCACCGGTTGCATCTTCCAATTCGAAACTTTCTGCCGTCATTGACAAATACATAGGACATAAAAGTTTTACAGGAACAAAGTTTGCGTCAACTAATGTCAACGTTATACTTGCCAAAGTGTTTGAGTTCACTAAGGTTGAAAATTCTGCATTCGAATGAACAATAGGCAAACCAGCAGAGAAAGTATTGTTTATACGCATAAGTATCTTTTGGTCATAATAGTTTCTGTCGACATTCGAATAACACTTTGAACCTAAGTTTGAAACAATATATAAGATTGGTGTGCTTAATGTCAATGGAATAGACATTCCTTGTATGACACCTTTTCCTGTTATAGGAAACTGTTGGTAGTAAAAACCAGAAATAAGTTTTGTATTATAGCTCATATCGTTTATAGTAAACTCAGTCGGACATCCAAACATAATGAAACCTGCTCTAGTTGCAGCACATGTTACACCTGTACTTAAAGTATTAAATAAGTCAACAAAACCTGTTGGTGGTATATCTGAATAAGTATCTTCATAGGAGTATTTTTTACCATTCACAACAATAAAGTCTTCTGGTGTCAAAAGAGCAAAACAGGCTTTAGTCGTCATTGTGTTTAAGGTTAGTTTACAATATCGTCCTTGAGGACTTTGTAAGTTTGTTGTTATAGAATTATATGACTCAGGGTTTTTAGTCGTAATAGTATAAACCATTATGTCTTCTGCCATTTACTTAGCAAATAAACTTTAATGAAATGTTGTGGTCGTCAAATATTTTTATAACGTCTGGGAAACTATATTTTAAGTTCAACGTTTCACCTCCTTTCATAACGTATATCTTGTCAATGACATTATATGAAACACCACAGCAACTAATGTCGGGTTCTATTTCTTTGATGTTTATATCGTCTGCCTCTGTCAAAAGTTTCAATAGTTCTTTCAAAACTTCATGAGGTGCAGTGACATATGAGTTCACTTTTACAGGGTTGTGTTCGACCAAGTTTAACATTATACTTAAAGCTTGACAAATCTTCTCCTGAGTTTGAAGTTTGTCTTTCAGTTGTTGGTAGTCGTTTCGAATATCTGCAACAGAACTTAAGTCTCTGTTAACTTCAGGATATGTTGGTTCTTTTACAGGAACAATTGTTATACCATCTTCGTCTTCGTATGGTTTCCCCACTTCAACATCTCTGTCTTTGACATTGACAACAACACTTTGACTGTTTGTTTGAGTTGGTGAATTTAACTTCACATCTGCCACCGCCATTAAACCTTTTGAAACACTTACGCTTCTATTTTTCGGAAATGACATTTTACTTAGAATAAAAAGATGGACGTATTCGGATATCTCTTTGAATTGAAGCAGAACAAAGTTTACACACACAAACAATACAAATACATTGACAGAATAGTTCTTTATACAAACAATGGTAAATGTTATAGAATAGCAATATTTGCTGAACCAAAATATTTTCATAAAGCAAAGAAAGTTGGTATAACCGAAATGGTGAAAGTTCTTGAAGCAGACAAAAATATAACTTCAAAACTGACCGATATTACTAAAGGAAAGTTTATAATACAGTATTATGTCAAAACAGGTGTCATAACTATTTACGATGGTGAGAAAAGTGTCAAAGAACAACTTACTGACCTGCTGCCAAAATCTGCTCGATGGAAGCTGTCGTTATGCCAATCTGAGGAGCCCCAGCAGGTTTCATCGAACGAATCTTCAAAAGAGCATCTTCCGTGAGAGTGCTATTGGTTTTGTAAACTTCTTTGCTCTCAATTCATCTGGACCGTCTCTGTCACCAGTATATTGTATTTGAACTGTACCAACAGTTGAAATACCACCCATAAAGTCTTCTGAGTCAGCAAATGGAATGCCAAGCCAAAAGTTTGAACGGTCTCCATTTGTATATTGAGTTTTTTGACCTCCTGTATGAGTCCATACTTTCACATATGCATAATAGAACTTTGCATCTCAGGGTTAATAGTTGTTGTGAAGTTGTTGTTAAAGTTCATAGCATCTAATGTCAAGTTGTATGACCTCATATCCTCAACTGTGGAATATTCTTCTCTTGGATAATATTTGCCATCTATGTTTATATGATATTTAATACCAGGGTTGTAGAAACAAGAATAGTCATTTATAGTTCGTCTGAACAGTACAAACATAGTATCTGCATGTTTCATTGCAGTTGTTAAAGCAATATCCGTTCTTGCACCTGGGTCAGCACTTTGGTTTCCAACTTCACCTGCAAAGTCTTTGACAGATATTTGGTGTATAGGGAACATAAGTGGAACTGCAATATATTTGGCAGCTAAAGCATTTGAAATATCTGGGTCCAACATATAGACTGCAAGTCTGCTTTCTATTCTCTTGCATTCAAACTTTTCGCATGTGAACTTAACTGGGTCCCAAGCAGTTCCAGCAGCATTGAAATAATAGTTTACTTCATTGTTGAAGTTTGAGAAACCAAAGTCTAAGTCAACTTTGTCTTTGCAAAATTCGGCGAATGACGTTTGATTTGTTCCCTTTACGTCTGTAATGCTGAATGGGTCTTGTGTTGGTGCAATGACTAAGTTATTTTTGCTTGGAGTAAGTTCGATAGAAATTTTTCCTGCCCAGTTTGGCAAGTATCTTAAAAACCTGAAGATGAGGAAAGATGACAAAGGAACTCTAAGTTTCAGTTTTACTTTAGTGGCAGCAGTTCCATCTGAACCAGAAAGGTTAACATAAACTCCTGGAACGTTAGGGTCAAGTCTTCTTATTTTCTCAATATTTGCATACTGGTCTGTTTGTTCTCTAGCTTGTGGTTGTACTGAGTTTCTCAAAGCGAACCATTCATAGTTTGCCCATGTTACTGTTTGAACTAAGTCAGAGTTAGAATATATCTTATATCCCATGAAAACTTCTGGAGCATATTGGTATCCGACATAGAAAATTCCATTGCAACCTTTCTTGTCAGACAACTTGGCAGAAGGTTTTATTTCAATGTCTTGTTCCACGTATAAGAATGAGTTGTCAATAGAAATAATGTGAAACCTGTCGCATGCAATATCTACTGTTGTTGAAGAACCTTCACCAAACTCACCTACGTTTCCATAAGAAACAGCAGTTGTATATTCGTAAGTTCCAGGAACTATTTCTGACCTTCTAATGGCATTGTCGCATTCGTTATACCATTCGGAAACATTTCCGTTCATGGCATCCAAAACTGTTGGCGTTATATTCTGAGCGGCGTACATTTCATATGGGTAAAATATAGAATAGTTGGATTTATATGTCATAATAAAACCCACTCGGACCAAGCTTTACTTTCTTCCTGACTGAATTTTTAACTCTTCTTTTTCCTTCATTGCCACTACTTTCACTAGATGAAGTTACTTCTTCACTACTTTCACTTTGTTCTACTCTTCTCTTCTTCTTTGGTGTCGCTTTTGGTAACTTGCCCTCTGCTTTAAGTTGTTGCATCTTTGCCTCATGTTCACCTAGTATGTTGTAAATTTCCCATGTCCTTTTTGCCTTTGGGCTCTGGTCGCCCATCTCAGGTAACCTATATCCTAGAAAGATTTTGTCATAGTTTGTATTTGAGTCTTCGCGTATTGTTTGCATGACTCTTTCCTGAGTTTCCGGTTCAAGCTCTTCAAACAGAGCTTGTCCATATGGAATAAGCTCGTTTCCAAATATATGTTTTTGTAGCCATTCTGGTTTTCTTTCATGTTACCAATAATATCTTTTGTGAATGGAAAGCTTTTACCCAACGTTTCAGTCTTGCGTCATTTATTTCTGTAGTTGGTTTTATTTTGTCATGGAACATGTTTTTCAATACTAACATTTCATTTGGTACTGTCCATTTGAGTTTTCTTAAATATTCATCCCTTCTCGGTTCATTGTCTGCAAAGTAAGTTTTTATGACATTTTGCAAACTTTCGTTTGCAAGGTCATGTACAATAGGTTCTCTTCCTTCTCTCTCCCTAAATCTCTTTCTAAACTCTTCACCAAATATACCATCTCTATGGTTCTGTGTAGTTCTTTGAGATAAATGTTCTAGAACGTCAGGTGTTATATTTCCATCAGCCATGTTCATTTCATACTGGTTCAAAATATCTGCATCTTTCATATCTTTCAATGGCATTAAAGCCGCGCTGAAAATACCAGCTACATCTGGTTCACCATTCACTTCCATTGCGTCTACAACTTCTTGGAATTGTGGTTGTAAGTTTATGAACCACCTATCCGGATTAGCTTTATGACCCCATCTCATTGTAGTTCCATCGTCTGCAGAAACAAAAGTAGGTTTGTTTCCATATTGGCTAGGTTCTGAATGAACTTTAAACAATGTTTCATTTCTATATGTTTTGTTGAAATTTAACCTTTTATTTTCACCGAGTTCAGCCAAAGATTGAACGTTATATGGTCGTAAGTAAAAGGATTATTGTATTTGCGTACATTATCTTTCAGTACTTCCATTCTATGCTGAATATTTTCATCTGATGTTGGAGTCTTTTGTATGTCGGTAAACATTTTTCGATATTCTTTCTACTATGTCAGCCGAATTTTTCTTAGACTCTTGGAAAGATTCCATATTCCCTCATACACTTGTTGAGGGTCAAGATTTTTCGGCTGTTCCAAATCTTCATCTAGTTCTGTGAAGTTAGTTTCCAAAGGAGGGATTTGTTCGTTTCCTTCTGGCTCTTCTAGCTGTTGTTGCTGAACTATTTCTTCCATGTCTGGTTGTATCTGAACTTCTTCCTGTGGAGTTTCTTGTACCTCATCTGCTGGCATTTCATATATTCCGAGACCGTTTTTAACAAATTCCCTTTCTAAGTCATCCGGACTCATAAGCCTTTCTTCTTTCGTTCCGTCTCTATTTTTTACGCGTTTCATGAAGAGAGTTGAATTATCATTTAGCTCTGACATCAAATATCTCGGAGTAAATTCATTCATGTCATTTGGATGATATGCTATTAAATCATATCCCTTAGCGAGCTTGTATTTTCCAGGTTTGAGATTATATCCGATTTTATGCTGAACCATAAGCTAAAGGTTCGGGTCAGTATTTCCTTCCTTGAACTTTCTAATAGCTTCTTTATATCTGTCACTAAAGTCAAGAGTATCTGGGTAACCATAATTTCCTTAAGCATTTTTAAGAATTCTTGGTTTCCTTTTTCTCTACTTCTTTTATGTCTTTGCTCTGTTTGTTGTTGTTGTGCAGGGTTTTGAACTGTTGGTTGCTGTGCTGGTTGTGGAGGTGGTTGTTGTGCTGGATTTTGAACTGTTGGTTGCTGTGTTGGTTGTGGTTGTTGTGTTGGTTGTTGTTGTGCTGGATTTTGAACTGTTGGTTGTGGTGCTGGATTTTGAACTGTTGGTTGTTGTGTTGGTTGTTGTGTTGGTTTTGGTGCATGCCTGTGTCTGTGTCCATGTGACGATGTAAATGTTTTAGGTAGTCCTGGTGCAGGTGCTTCTCTTGGAGGGTTTGGTGGTATATAAGTTCCACCAGCTGGCACATATGTTCCATCTGCAGCATAATGTCCTACCCGACTTTTCGTTTTTAAGAAAGCATTTACTAGGTCTGTTTTGGTCTGTTGTAACTCTTTTTCTTGACTTTCCACAACAGTTGCTCTAACGGCGTCATAGGCACTTTGAACTGCCTGTCTCGTTGCTGCATCTGTTATTTTCGTCATATTTTGTGCTACTTCTCTTAACTCTTTGTCGAAACCTTCAGACTTCAGTTTCTTTCCAGATGAGAAATCGTTCACTTGTTTCACCTTACTATGAAGAGCTTCGAAGGCATTCTTAAAGTCAGCATTCATTAAAGCTTCATTTGAACTGTCTTCATCCGCTTGTATTTTTGTCCTTATTGACCCTATAAGTTGGGCTGCTTTGGCGTTGGCTTGGGCATCTAACCAGTCATTATTAGCTTTTATATATTCTGCGCTTTTCATTGCCTTTTGCATGGCTGCGTCGTTATTTTTACTTTCTTGTGCTAAGTTTTCATACTGTACGGTTTGGTTTTGCAACTGTAAAAGTTTTTCTGCCTTTACATTTGCTTCAACTTCTTTTTTATACTCATCGCTATCCATATATGTCTTCATGGCTTTTTGTTTTATCTCTTCATCTTTCAGTACTTTATATTGAGTAGTATGGTTTTTCAAATTTATAACATCTTGTTCCATTTTTGCTACTTCTGCTGCTTTTTCTGACACTTTTTTCGCATATTCCTCTGTACTTAGTTCTTTCAGTTGTTCTTCTTTCTTCTTTTTCTCTACGTTTAACTCATTGAGTTTCTTTGTGTGTCTGTCATATTCTAGTTTCTTTTCGTTTTCACTTATTTGTTTCTGTATGTCTATGTTTGACTTTTTGACATCTGTTATTTGATTTTTGAGTGAACTCAAATTCATTTGACTTTGAGGGTTATAAGCTGTTCCGTCTGCAGCTCCACCATAGCCTGCCATTTTCGCTAAAAGTGCCGCTCTTAAACCTCCACTCTGTGCACCAATAACTCGGTTTAAAAGCATAGGGTTGCTTGACATTTGTTGCAACATAGTGGGGTCATTCATCATTTGTTGTTGCAACTGTTGTTGTGGTGTTAGTTTTACTATTGGATGTTTCAATGCTCCCTTCCTCTTACGTATATTCTTACGTAGCTTACGTGGCATTTTAAGTGAAGTAAAAAAACGGTTTTTGACAGATGTTTATATGACACTATTTGTTCAGCACAAAAAACTACTCAGTCAAAGTGTTGCCAGTTTTGTAAAATAACCGTCTTATCTCATTCTATAAGGGGGAAAAGGCTTCTCAAAGTCCAGTCTACTTGGTATTGAAAATCCCATGTGTTATAGAACGGTGGGTCCACTATAAAGAAAACATTTTCCTTGTCTTTATATTTTTCATACAACTCTGTCCAATGACATCTCACAAACTCTATACCCTCAATATATTTTTCTATGTCCTCTTTGAAAACATTTGTATAGTTAAGATATAAAACTTTTGACATAAGTGTTTCAATGTCATGAACTCTTATAGCACCACTATATAATAGTCTAGCAGATATACTATCCCAGTCTATATATTCTGCTTTTTTCAAAACCTCTCTCACAATATCTTTCTTATCTAATGGTATACGTTCCATCTTACCTATAGGTATCTTTTCTTTTAACTCTTTCAATATATTGTTTGTGTCTGGAATATGTTTGGGACGGTCCATATAGTTGTCGAAGTCATTGCATATAATCTTTGAGTCTGGGAATATTGTATGGCACAAATGGGATATATAGAAACTTCCACCGAACAAATCTACAAATGTTAGACCATTCGGTAGTTTCTTAAGTTCTCTCAATATAATATCTTTACATCTACTCTTATTTCCAAAGAACGGTAACGGTGGTTTTGTAAAATTCATTTATATATAATAATAAAAATGTTTTTACTCGAAAAGTGACAGAAAAGTGACAAAACATGAAAACATATATATTTTGTGAAAAGTGACACAAAAAGTGACATTTAAAAAGTGACACCATTAATATGATGTAAATAACAACGGTTTTGGTTTTGTCACCGGCTGGTCGGCTGGGGTTCGGTCCTCCTCTTGGGTCTTGGGCAAAATTTCTTATGGGCTAGAGGGCGCAACGCGCCTGGAAGCCCTCCGAATAAAAACTTCATTTATACTAAACATCTTCGGGGCTAGAGGGCGCAACGCGCCTGGAAGCCCCACTACCTTTTTTTTTCTCTTTATTATTTTTTAGTCATTTAAAAATAATTTATTTTTAGTAATTCGATGTTTTTAGATAAAATTCAAATTCAATTGAAGATTTTGTTGAGAATTACTGCTTAAAGTAATAGAATAACCTACATAATTATCAATGAAATACTGAATGACTCTAAATAAATTAACATTATGAAGAAATATAGCAAAATTAGATTTGATCGCTCAATTACTTAAAAATAAGATATATGACATGGTGAACTTTTAATAGTATTACCTACTCATTGCAGCGTTTGATGAATGGGTATCAATGGCGTTATTTCTTATAAAATTTTGAGATTTTTCCCAACAAATTCTAAAATGATTATGATTGAATGAATTTAATGTTTGATTATAGTATTACATTGGTATATATTAGAGGAATGTTGATAAATTCATTAGAAAAATGCAAAAATTTGATAGAACAAACATTAGTATTTAATCTATGTATAAAAATTATATAATAGTTAATTCCAATTATGCCAATGACAAGCGGAATTTTGATAAAGGAGAAGATTTTTCGGGAATGAACAAAATACAAATCAAAAACAGTGAAAAGATGTAGAAAACACCAGAAACTAAAAACAATGATATAGCAACATCTTCTGACTTGTTTGAACACTTTTCTATCGTAACAAATCCAAGTTGGTTGTTTAGCATCAATCCGCCCATAGAATTCATCGAAGGGATTGAGTAAACGCCACAGTCTGCACTTTTCTGTGATTGCCTCTCTACTTTTGAGGACATCTGTAATTTTAATTCAGAACCACCGCAATTTGAGTATTGCATGAAGTATGGACTTGAAAAATCTAATTTGTAATGATTATTTGCTGGCGTGGAATATACAGGTTGCTTCAGTTTGGCTTTCATCTCTCTGAAACCTTGGAAAACGTTTAGATGCATCTTTTCAATAGCATAGAAGTTTAGACTGCAATTTGTGCTATTTGATGTAAAGCTTCCGTAAAGTTCATGAGAATAAGCATTAGATTGTGGAAAAACACAGATTTTTGAACTTGGAGTAGTTGTTTCACTGTTAAAACGAATTGACTTATCAGCAGAGAAATGAACACTTGAACGGCCACATAAGGTAGTTGGAATTAACCAATAATACATTTGAACAATGGAATTTTTGAAGGCTTTGAATGTAATATTTGATCGAGAGACTTGCATGTATTGGTCCTTATATACAGTAAAAGCCTTTTGCTGTTTATCTTTTGTGATTTTAATACGAATTTTATCTGAAGGTTGGAATATTAAATTGTAGCCATTAGGTATAGAAATAGTAACATCGGAGAAATTCAATTTGAGAGACTGAAATTGGATCGATGATTTCAAACATTTGGCCAATCCGAAAAATAAAACCAATATCACCATTTTTTTTTCTTGATATTGTAACCGACTTTTTATTACAGACAACAAGTTTGTCTATTAAAATATTATCTTTAGAAACAAAGATTTCTCTGACTTTTGTTCAAGAACTCCCAATATTTGATGAATTCAATTTTTAAATTAAGATCAATTGGTAATTACATATCATCATCATGCATAAAACTTGTTAATTGATAATGTATCTCAAAATTGCACTCAAATGTTGGCTTCCTTTCGGATAATGATTCAATAAAACAGACAAATTTGCTTGAAACTTATTACCTCAATCAAACACTAAATGAAGAATTAAATGATAGCTATTTGAATCGACAGTTTTAATAAATTATCTTGGATATCGAAAGATTTAGAGGGATAATTAGATTTTGTTCAATAAAAACAATTTGCAATTCCATTCTCAGCACATTATTAAAGATTTCAGAAAAATTCAGATAAAATTTGCTCAACGACATCAAAAAATATAAAATAACGTTTATGAACGAGTCTAAAGGGAAATCCCCTTTGACTTCGCGTTCTAACCTAACAAAAATAAGAGGGCTACAAGATGTTGAATCAATTCCAAAGAAAACTAATAAACAAGACTCGTTATTACCTAATGGATGGTTTTATGATGAAACAAAACAAGAAGACTTTTGGAAAGACATGGAAAATGAAAGAAATCCAATCAATATGGAATCACTAGAACTACAAAATAAGAAAACCGAGAATATCAACAATATAGGCGATAGTTCTAAGAAAATTAATTCGATACTCAAGTCATTTGATAACATTGATGAAGACGTGTTAGTTCAAATGCTAGAAATATCACCCGAAATGAATCAGAATGGCGATGTAAACACAGATGCAATTCTTGATTCAACAAAAACTCAAGTTATTCAATATTGTCAAGATATGTTAGATGTAAAAAAGAGTCAAGATACATTATTCGGTTCTCTTAAGAAATGGTTTCAAGTTCTTGAAAAAAACGAATTATTTTACAAAAAAGAATATGAAAACACACAAGATGAACCAGATATTCAAGAAGTATTTATGCAATTCGACCAAATAATGTCAGAATTATCCACAAATTCAGAAAAAATTACGTATATTCATCATGATATTACAGATACATGGCAAAAACAAGCAGTTGCTCTGAAGAAAGAAGTAATACAGAAAGATATACAGATCCATCAATTAACAGAATCAATTGAACAGTTAAATCAATTAAATAAGCGAAATGCAAAGAACAAAAAGCTCCAAAACGAGAAACTCAAAGAGAACGAAATCAAACAGTCAATGCTAGATAACTACATCAAACAAGTTGAAGAACAAAAAAATCAAATTACAAAATTAAAACAACAGCTGTTGAATCTGGAAGCATCACGTGCAGCAAATAGTGTTAATTTCAATTCAACACCAAGTTCTTTTGATCCAAACCAAACAAATGTCGATCAAATTAAATTAGAATGCGAAGCTAAAGTAACAATGCTTAAACAGAGAATACAACAACTAGAAGAGGAATCACAGACATTCAACAACAAAATACAAGCAGAAAGACAAATCCAAAAAACAATTGAAAAAGAATCAAATTTAAAAACGAAGAAAATCGAAGAAATGGAACAAGCATTGCATAAATACATCGAACTTCTACAACTAGAGAAAGAGAACAACATGAATAACCAAAAGATACAGCCGAAAGAAGAGAAGAATGATGTAAATGTTGATGATTTATATTTGCAAATTGCTCAGTTGAAAGAAGGAAATAAAGAGATAGAAAACAAGTACCAAATCGAGATGAACAACATTAAAGAAATAGAAAGACAGAAAGCAGCACATGAAAGACAAGTCCTTATAGCAGCAATGAACTCTAAAGGAACAGAAAAGAATGAAATAATTCAAGAAATTGTGAAAAATTATGACAAAAAATTTGAAACACAAAAACAAGAGTTCGACAAAATCAACACAGATATTTCGAAGAATTTAGGAAATAGAATTTCTTTGTTAACAAAACAATACGAACAAAGAATCAAAGACTTAAATGAAGAACACACAAATGAAATGATAACTTTACAAAATACTTTAAATTACAACATCAGAAAAGCAAAAATAGAAATAAATGAAGAGTTCAACAACAAGTTACAAGATTTTATAAGAAGAAGTAATGAACAAGAAGGCCAGTATAAGAAGACAATACAAAATCTACAAGATAATAATCTAAATCTTAAAAATCAAATCAAAAATTTGTCAGAATTTATTGAAAAAGTGACAGGAGAACAACCAAAGATTAGTTTAACAGAAGAACTACATGTTACGAAATCATTGGACTTAACAAGTGATTTAGAATCGAAATACATGGAAGAATATCTACAAAAAATCAAAAATGAAAAAGAAATTTTGCAAGAAAACTATGAATGGCAAATCAAACAAAATAAATTATATTATGAAGATTTACTTAAAAAAGAACTTCAGAAAAACGCTGCAGAACAGAAAGCTCTTCTTAAAAATGTCATTGATTCTCTGTCTACTGTTAAAATGGAAGGAGAAAACCAATTAACAATTTCAAAAGCAATTGATGATGCTTCGAATGGATTAGTTAAATTAAATGAAACAGAAATGACTAAAGTTGACACAAAAGAAATGATTCCTGTCGAAGAATCCAATAAAAGAATTAAAATCTTCACAGACAGAATTTCTCAATTGACTTTGCAGTTGAATGACAAAAATGATTATTCAAAGGAAATCGAGAGATTAAATAAAAAAGTTGCGTTTTTGGAAAATCTCAAAAAAGGTAACAAAAATCAAGATGAATTTCTGCAAAAAATGAATGAAATGGAACAGAGTCTAAGAGAAGAACTCAGAGAGAAAGATGAATTGATCAAAGAAATGCAAAGAAGTGAGGAATTAAGAGGTTTGTTTTACGGAGACATGTTTGACACAGAAATCTTTTCTCATTCCCCAGTAGATGAATACATTACATTGACAAAGAATGAAACAATAACAAGGAGTCAGCCAGAGATAATATTGAAACAGGAAACTGATAGTTCTCCTCTAGTTAAAACGAAATCAAATGAAGTTTTAATCAAAGAAGAAGTCATTGAAAAGAAATTTGTTCCTGCAAAAATAAAAGTTGTCAAAGATGATGAGACTAAAAAGGAAATAAGAACAATCGCTGTTGTAAAGAACCAAGAAAAAGAAGTTGTCAAAGAAATTGATGACAAAACACCAATCAAACCATCAGATCTAATTGATACAAAAGTAACAGTAAAAGTCAAAAAAGAAAGACCAAAATTGGAAATTTCTGATGTTTTGTTTAGTTTACATAAACCAAGAAGATATGAATTGTTTATTGCTCCAGGAAGTAGAATGGTTCGTCCTAAGATAACATACAGTGAGTTGTTTGGTTTGATACCTGGAAAGAAGCCTCCATTAATGGTATTAAGTGATGATTGGTCTAAAACTGTTTTGGATAATCTCCAAACAACTCTCAAAAACATTTTGTTGGCTCAGAAAGGTGTTGCTGATGATGATAAAGCCAAAGAAGACTTTTTGGGAACAATGAAAGTAGCTTTGATTGATTCAAATGATAGAATCATCGTCAATGATAAAGATTTTGTTACACGGATCGATAAAAGAATTGAAGAAATGAATAAAGAACAAAGTGAAGCAAAACAAAAAACAGATAGTTTATCAAGTGAAGCAATCAAACCAACAAATGAAGTTCCATTTATGGAAGACAACAGTTATATTTACGAACGACCAGCTCCCGAACCTTTGAATTTAGATTTAGACATAAAGGAAATAGATCTTGAAGGTGATACTTTTACTTCTAGTGTAAATGTTTGCTCGGAAATCATTAGATTTGTTAGTAGATACAAAGAGAATGAGCAGTACATTAAAAATGTTTTGGATGGAGATCTTTCTGCTTTCGAAATTTACTTGACAAATCACTTCAAAGAATTTGACCAAGTTTGTCATAATTTCCTTAAAAATTGTTTGGAATCAAACAACTGTTATTCAAAGAATATAACTCAAGCAAATGATCTACAGAGTTTATTAATGAAACTCTTGAAACTTTGTCAAGTTTCTAAAAAGAAGAACATTAGTTTGCAGCAAAAAGTCACTAATTATGAAGCAACTTTGCAACAACAAACTATACAAATACAAGAAGGATTAATTGACAAATTAAAGGATCAAAGTGAGAAAACAAATAATGAAGAAGTCGACAAAATGATGAAGATTAATAAAATCAACGGAATTCTCGAAGCAATTGATAGTTTTGGTTTGGATTTCAATGAGAATGAAGTAACAAAATTAGAAACATTAAAGCAAAAAGTTTCACAACAAGAAGATGTTGATAATTTGTTAGATGAAACTGAAACATTAATTAAAGAAATCAAGCCTCTTTTCTTGAAGAAAGAAAAAATAAACATGGAAAATGAAATGACAAAAGTTACTGACTTGAATCAAGTTCTTGATCACAAGTATAAAAAGTACAAACATGGATACATGGAAGTAATTAATGAACTGAAACAAGTTAAAGTTAAAAACCAAAATTTGGAGAAAAGAATTTTGGCTTTGAATGACAAAATCAAAGAAGAACAAACTTCAACAGAGAATTCGATTTCATTTTACAAGACACAGTTAAATACTTTGAACAGAATTTTCGAAAACTTAACAGATGAAAAGATCAAAGAAAACTTTTCTAAAACTCCATCCGAAATCACAGAAATGATTTTGAAACAAATCAATGACATGAAATCATTGATTAATTTAAACAAGATAGAAAACGAGAATCTTAAGAAACTAAATGAACAAAAATCAGCACAAAATTCTGATTTCGAAGAAATTCAACTCCTCAAAGAAAAAATTCAAGTTTTGGAAGAAGAAAATAAAAATTTAACAAGTTTACAACAGAAAAGTGATAGACAAGCATTATTCCATGAACTTGATCTAGACAAAATGAGAAAAGAGAATGAATGTGAGCAAACATTGTCACAGAACCAGAAGAAACAAATTGACGAAATTCTTTCTGAAAATCAAAATCTCAGAAACGAAATTCTCGAAAAAGACAAAAATTTACAGCAATTAAAGTTCACTTTGAGACAAAAGGATGATCAAATAGATGAACTCAACATAAGAATTGTTTTAGGAGCTTATCATGATACAAAAACAAGAATATCAGAAGGAATTCAAACAACTTTAAGAATTATTTCAAGAAAAAGTGACAAAAATAAAGTTGCAAATTCGAATCAAACCGAAAATCCTCAAAAAGATGTTAAATTCGAAAATGAACCATATTATTACGAAGATGTCGAAATGGACAATGGTCAATTCCTCAGAAGTGGTGGATTTTCATCAGCTTCTTTCACAGATTCATCAGCAATTTTCGACAGTGTTCAAAAAAGTGAATCCGAGAAAAGTAACACTTCACCATTACCAATGTCATCAATTTTAGCAAATTCCAATGATAATGTAAATGATTCAATGCCTAAATTCCATTTGAATTTGAAAACAACGAAGAGTGACAGTCAAGAACTGTTACATGAAGATTCAGTTGAATGGGTAAATTGCGAAGAAGAAAATCCAGAGATTTATGATAAATTCAGTGAAGATTTGATTGATAATTCCAATGAGAAGAATAAGGTAAATGATATCACAAATGATAGTATCCAAATTAATGTCCACAAACCATTAAATTGGAAGATTTCCGACAATGAAAAGAGGAAATCAATTTTAGAACAAATTTCTGATTCAAATAAAAGTAAAATTAAACGACCAATGACTTCTCATCTCCAGAAACCACGTAAGCCATCAATACAGCTTTCTAAAGGAGACCAAGACAAATTAATGATAGGTGAAGTAAGTCCAGGTGTCCGACCACTTAAAGGATACACAGGAAAAGTTACTCCTCCAACACAATTCAAACAGATCTTGAGAATGAAATCTACTCCTCATCCTCAAAATGATTTGGAAGTTTCTCCAATCAAATCAGCAAGAATTCCTATTGATAGTGATAAAAAAGTCACTCCAACACCGAAAACATCGAGAACTTCTTTATCAGAGAAACCCAAAACAAACACTGCCAGATCGAACTATAAAATGGACAATGAAGTCGAGGTAGAAACAATAAGAATTACTAATGTTCAAATAGAAAAAGAGGATGAAAAGAACAAAGAAAAGAAGCCACCAATTGTTTCTTCTCCTTCTTTCCCTCAGTTCGAGAAATTCGAGAAAGTTCCTTTGACTGTAAGAAGTGCACAAAACTATAATTACAACAGAGAAAAGGAAATTAATGAGTTCAAAGTTTTAATACAAAAACTGAGAGAAACAATAAGTAGCCAGAAAAAGACAATCGATCAAAATGAACAACTTTTGAGTGAACTGAAAAAGAAACTCAACGAACAATTATCTAAAAACCAGAAGCTGCAAATTGAAATTGTAAAGAGTGAAGACAAAGCTAGAAGAAGTCAAATCAGATACGATAATTGCAGCCAAAGATTAGAGATAGCAATGAACCAAATTTCATTGAAAGAAGAAGAATTGCAAAACTTGAAGAGAGAGCTGAATAAATTGAAATCATTGACAGCTCCAACAATTTCTGCTTTCGATAGAATGAGGAATGCAATCAAAGAACAGAACAAATTGAAGAAAGAAAACGAGATGAATAAGAAGATTGAAGATATGGTCAACAAAGAAATGAAGAATTCCAATTCAAATGATGTTCAAAGTCATTTGGCAACTTTGCTGCAAAACACTCAAAAATCAGCACAAAGAAATGAAGCAAAATGCAGAATGTGGAGAAACTATGAGAAGAAACAGATAACTGCAGCTTTAGCAGCTTTATCTCTAATTGATAATGGAGATGTCGCTGATAAAGTTACTCAATTCGTTTTATCAAACGATAATGCAAAATTATTCGACTTGTGGTCGAAAAGAAATGCAATTAAAGCATTCGAAAATGAACAACAACCTTAACCATGTGTGATTATTTATAAATGTTTGTTATATTTAATTAATTTTTTAAAATATCATTGCAGATTACAACTGCATCTGTATGAAATTTGAAATACAAATTATTTTCGAAGAACCGAAATGATTGATTTGCGTGGGCATTTTGGAGTACAAATTAATGTAGTTATGATAAAAATTTGATGATTTTTAAAAGATAATTTTTTATAAACAAAAATACAAACAAAATTACCAAGTAGTAATATCAGTTCCAAATTCTAAATGAGCACTAGGATATAATTTCTGCTGCTTAAAGAACAGACGAGCTTCAGTTTTTGTATTAAACAGTTGTGCTTGATTTATATCAAAAACCTTGCCATTTCCTTCTGCCCATCTAAGTATCATGACAAGAGCTTCAATGTTATTACATTGGAGGCATGCTGAGATAGCTTGATTTAAAATTTGATCTGAAATTTCGACATCTTCTAAAATCCATCGGAGAATATCATTATTGAATGTTAAGATTGATTTGTCAATGTATTCATCGGAAATAAATGAAAAATTACACTCATTTTGGAAAATTCTCAAAATTTCAAAGTTTCCTCCTGTTATTACATTGTAAGATAGCCGGAGTAAACGACCAGAATAGATTGGACCTTGGTTATTCAATCGCATCTGTAACATATACTTAAAACAGTTCACAGATCCTATTGAAGCTGCAAAATCAAGATATGATATATATGTTGTTGATATTAATTCACGTGTAAATGATTCTGATAGAAAATCAGGGGGATCAGGGAATAAATTTGATAATAAATCAACATCATCAGTTATAATTGCCCATTCTGGAGTTCCTGGCAACGATCTATAATAAAGACAACTTTTATAATACTCAATATTGTTTTCAAGCTTATCAAGATTTTGCTTGAGTTTTGAAGTGTATGTTCTAAGATCATTCGATAAAAATAGTCGTCTATAAAGGGACACATCATATTTCAAAAGTATCGGAAGAATCATCACTGATCCATTACTAGTTTCTGCGTATTCTGCAACGACATCCTCTTCTGAAATGCATCCAAGATCAATGAGATCATATAGAATTCGATTATTTTCGCTCCATTTTATGAGATTTTGCAATATTACAGTACATAAATCTGATAAACAATTTTTTTCTGAAGACAATGAATCTAATTCTTTAATGAAAGCGGCATACAAAGGACTTTTTCGTGGAAATTGCGAAATGTATTTTGATAATATCGAAGCGATTCGATAAATTCCATTTAAACTTTTTGATATTTCAAGTTCTGAAATGTAAATAGCGTCTTCTCCGATACTAGATTCTGTAAGTTTATCTAGTTTACTCTGAAGCAAAACGCCATCTAACCATGAATGCATTAATTTGAAATTCTGATACAAGAAATATGACTTTGCATAGTGACTTAATTTACCACACAACAGCAAAAGTTATATATATAATAGTTTTTGTCCTCTCATTCATGCTTCTTCCAATAGAATTTTTAGCATCATAGAGATAAACACCAACTGTCATGACATTGAATCAGGATCTCATATTTGACTTAAATTATAAGCTCATACTAAGGAGAGCTGTGAAAATGATATCTCACATGTATTCGTTTATTGATGACACGCTAATCGAAAAGGAATAATAATTAAAGGACAAGTAGATAAAAATATTAATGTAAATAAATAATTCAAATTTTAGAAAAAAAATTGATTCCCATATACCAAGCCATACGACAGTAAAGAATTCATATGGCCTGGGTAGCGCGCGTTGTAGTAAATGTTTACATCCATGGGAATGGGAGTAAACTGCACGACGGAAGAATAATTCTTGCATTCATTGTTGGAGGCATCGGAGACTCATCGGATGACGAGTTTGATGCTTCAATATGCTTTTTGTTTTTCTTTGAGTTCATTCTACGGATCAAACGGCAGCATCTGTTACGGATTGTAACCGAATTGCGTCCTTCGAAATAAGTTGCGATAATTGTCCATTTAGGACCGATTTCGTTATGAAGCCTAAGTAATTTTGCATCTTCGTTTTCAGTCCAAGGAATTTGTTCTGAATTGTTAGATAAGTAGTGATTCCATCTATCACGGCACTGCCTTGCTGTCCTGCATTTCAACAGCTTTGAGATGAGGGACCATTTATTTGTGCCGTGAGTTTGAACCAATTTTTTAAGGGTTTCATCTTCTTCTGGAGAAAACTTGAATTTGTGGCCGCGTGGCATGTCAGACTTGTTAATTTGAATAACACTTTTATCATCTTCGCTTTCTGGCATCATTGCCATTTGAATTGACAGTCCTGCCATGAAAATTTGTCTATCATCCAGTCACTTTTGTTTTTTGAGGACCTCACAATTAACTCCGGCTTTCAATTTAATAAAGCATAAAAATAAATCAGCGATATACGTATTGCAATTTTATGAAAAATCAAAATTAATTTTATCAATTTGATTTTTATCAAATTATTCAGACGCTATTTGCTGTGCATGCCAGAAAATGCAATAATAAATTAAATTCAGATCAATATCGCATTATTTTAAATTTGAAAAACCGTTAGTATGATTATGTCAAAACTTGAATTAACTTCAACATTACATATATCGCTATATTATTCAGAAAAAGTAAATATTTTGATAAAATTTCAAAACGGATAGAAACTGTAATTACGAGTCATTAAATTATATTTTATATTTCAACATTTATAGGATCAAAAAGTTATCCGAATGTAAATTTCTCTCAAAAACTTTTATTTTTCAAACGTACGTTACTTTCAAATCTAAGAAAAATAAAATATAATGTGATCTAAAATTCATTATAAGATGCTTTTATCATGTGATATGAAAAAAATCGTTACAAAATTATTGAACTTTCTCTCCATTTTCACTACAAATCTTCAGCTTTACAGCAACAGTTTGATTCCTTCTGAAGAGTAGTACCATATATCATTCCTCGGATTAGATATCTTTTTTTTGGCTTGATAAAAAAATATTTTTCCATTTTACATCTAAAACTTCTCACAGGCTTATTAACAACAATTTCCATTCAATCCTACGCATCATGAATGGGTATTGCATAATCCTTTCTTCATTTTATATTTCATCATTTTATTTTTCCCATTTGGAATGATTATATTTCGAAACATACATACTATACATTTGTAATACCGTATGACATGTTTTAAACACAATAATTGATTCAATTTGTGATATAAAGTATATTTTTCAGGCAAACACAAATTTTAGCTAAAAGTGACAGGAAAAAAAACGTTTAGTATTAAAAAAAAAAGACCGATGAGAGCTTCGTTCGAAATATAGAGGGAACTGAGAATGCGCAACCATTCTCAGGGAATATTGGATGCTATTCCCGTTCCCTCTGTATGGAAAATTGAGGTTTTCAAAGGGAGTTAAAATAATATCAAATTTATACTAATTTACTTCAAAATACAAAAGTATTTGACAGCTAAAATTAGTTACTTTAGCAAGCCTATCAATACCCTTTTACGATTATTGTTACTTTTTCGAAATAAAAGTAAAAACAAATTTATACTAATTTACTTCAAAATACAAAAGTATTTGACAGCTAAAATTAGTTACTTTAGCAAGCCTATCAATACCCTTTTACGATTATTGCTACTTTTTCGAAATAAAAGTAAAAACAAATTTATACTAATTTACTTCAAAATACAAAAGTATTTGACAGCTAAAATTAGTTACTTTAGCAAGCCTATCAATACCCTTTTACGATTATTGCTACTTTTTCGAAATAAAATAAATTTATTATCAAAAACCTTTTTTTTTCTTAGTAAAAATAAAAATGTTATTTTATATCAAGTTTTTATTCATAAATTTTTATAATGTTGTATAAATTTCATTAAAATTTACGTACATATTAAGGTACTTATCTTAATAATGAAGATTTTATTTTGCAATAATATAAACGAAATTTTTTACCTTATGAACTTTTGATGGAAATATGCAAATTTAAAATAATAAAGAAAGCCGCGAGCGAAGCGATCGGCTTAGTTCGAAGATTTTGATTCAAATCTTTGCTGATCTGTAATTCGCGGAAGCCGCGAGCGAATCGAGCGGCTTAGGTCTAAGATTTTGATTCAAATCTTTGCTTATATTCCTTAAATTCTTTATGAAACTCGCAACAGTTCCATAAAAAATTTTAAATTCTAAACTGTCGAAATTACCGATCGGTAATCACACCCTTCACGGGTGTGTCACTTTTTACAGGTGTGTCACTTTTAGCTAAAATTACCCCTACTCATATTTTTCACAGCTTGGTTATCTTTATTAGTTAAACAAACTTTTTATCATAATTTCTTTTCTTAGTTTAACCACATATAAAAAAAAGGTAGTGGGGCTTCCAGGCGCGTTGCGCCCTCTAGCCCCGAAGATGTTTAAAAAAGTTGGAATTGAGGTAAAATTAGATGTTTAGTTTCATGGAACTTGACTGTCCATTGCATCTGCCATTTGTTGGTCGTCTTCTGATGGTGTTCTTGAATGATATTCTTCTTCTTCGGGTACAAATTCGTCATCATCAGGTGCGTCTTGTGGTTCATCTTCTTGAGTAGAGTCTTCTTCTTCAACATCAAAGTCATCTGGTGTATCGAACTGAATGTATGAAAGCCAAATGTTGTATGTGTTTTCCAATTGGCTTTCAAACTTGAGATACATTCCATGCATGAGTGTTATTTCAGTTTCAACGTAGAGTTGCTGATGTGGCTTGAAGACATGCATGAGAATTGGTCCTCCAAATTCGTCCTTGAAAAACTTGCAGTAGCAAACATAAACTGAGATAGAGTCTCCTTCTTCAATGTCTTCTGCTTGGTTAACGAAATGAATAGCAATTTTGCGTACTTGAATTGTGTTGTTGTCTGAGTAAAATAATGGTTTGAACTTGGGGTTGAGTGAGCTAAGACATTGCCATTTTGCTGTTTCTTGTCCGTACTCACGTTCTTCTTCGTCATCCTGATATCCGTAACTCTTTGATTTGAATTCGACCCAAAACTGTTCGACTTTTTTTGCAGCTTTGGGTGGAAGACTTTCAATAAGCTGACATATAGTTCTGTCAACAATTATCTTTGTTATTGTTGGAAAATAGTTGACAATTGTGTCACCTAATTCGAATGGGTCAGGTGTTTCTTTTTGTAGTTTGGTAAAGTCTGCAAGAACTTTGTTGAGTTGTTCACAATATTCTTTGTTAAAAGTTGCAGCAACTCTTTCTTCTGGCTTTGAATTGAAGTATTCTTCAGACAATCTGAGTAGTATTTTGCGTAGTTCAGCGTTGCTGTGGTTCTTTGTAATACGGAGCTCGTTTGGTATTGTTTTTGGTAGTGAAAGTGGCTTTGGATTGAGCGAATTGCAGGACAAATTTGAATTTGAATTGTCTGTTCTGCTTGGAGAATGTGTAGATGCTGCAGTTTGATATTGAGGCTCTAAACCTGTGGGTGCTGAAAGTTTGCAAGCAATTTCTTCAGGTGAATTTGGAGCGAACACGCTAGCGAATGCCATTAGAAAAATAAACTGTTTTTTTCGGACTACTCATAGAAAAGTTTAAAATAAACCGTTTTCGTCAACGGACCCCCTCTATTTTTTTATTTTATTTAATAGTTACCGTTGGCAAACCGTTCCATCTCAAATATTGAATGAACTATAAACGTTTTTTGTTTTCTATATATACTTTTTTGTCCAACGGTAAAACTTTTTACACAACGGTTTTTGAGAGTCGTCGCCGTTGACTTTTTTGTAGAGCACTCAAAATAGTATAACTTTGTCCGGACAAGTAAGGGTCTATCGTCGCTACAGGAAAAGTTACAGGCGTTCCAAGGAAGTATACTTTGAGAAGCCTTTTCCCTTATAGAATGAGATAGGACGGTTATTTTACAAAACTGACAACACTTTGACCGAGTAGTTTTTTGTGCTGAACAAAAAGTGTCATATAAACATCTGTCAAAAACCGCTTTTTAACTTCACTTAAAATGCCACGTAAGCTACGTAAGAATATACGTAAGAGGAAGGAGCATTGAAACATATAGTAAAACTGACACCACAACAACAGTTGCAACAACAAATATGAATGACCCCACTATGTTGCAACAAATGTCAAGCAACCCTATGCTTTTAAACCGAGTTATTGGTGCACAGAGTGGAGGTTTAAGAGCGGCACTTTTAGCGAAAATGGCAGGCTATGGTGGAGCTGCAGACGGAACAGCTATAACCCTCAAAGTCAAATGAATTTGAGTTCACTCAAAAATCAAATAACAGATGTCAAAGTCAAACATAGACATACAGAAACAAATAAGTGAAAACGAAAAGAAACTAGAATATGACAGACACACAAAGAAACTCAATGAGTTAAACGTAGAGAAAAAGAAGAAAGAAGAACAACTGAAAGAACTAAGTACAGAGGAATATGCGAAAAAAGTGTCAGAAAAAGCAGCAGAAGTAGCAAAAATGGAACAAGATGTTATAAATTTGAAAAACCATACTACTCAATATAAAGTACTGAAAGATGAAGAAATAAAACAAAAAGCCCTGAAGACATATATGGATAGCGATGAGTATAAAAAAGAAGTTGAAGCAAATGTAAAGGCAGAAAAACTTTTACAGTTGCAAAACCAAACCGTACAGTATGAAAACTTAGCACAAGAAAGTAAAAATAACGACGCAGCCATGCAAAAGGCAATGAAAAGCGCAGAATATATAAAAGCTAATAATGACTGGTTAGATGCCAAGCAACGCCTAAAGCAGCCCAACTTATAGGGTCAATAAGGACAAAAATATCAAGCGGATGAAGACAGTTCAAATGAAAGCTTTAATGAATGCTGACTTTAAGAACGCCTTCGAAGCTCTTCATAGTAAGGTGAAACTAGTGAACGACTTCTCATCTGGAAAGAAACTGAAGTCTGAAGGTTTCGACAAAGAGTTAAGAGAAGTAGCACAAAATAGACGAAAATAACAGATGCAGCAACGAGACAGGCAGTTCAAAGTGCCTATGACGCCGTTAGAGCAACTGTTGTGGAAAGTCAAGAAAAAGAGTTACAACAGACCAAAACAGACCTAGTAAATGCTTTCTTAAAAACGAAAAGTCAGGTAGGACATTATGCTGCAGATGGAACATATTGTGCCAGCTGGTGGAACTTTTATATACCAAAAAACCCTCCAAGAGAAGCACCTGCACCAGGACTACCTAAAACATTTACATCGTTCACATGGACACAGACACAGGCATGCACCAAAACCAACACAACAACCAACACAACAACCAACAGTTCAAAACACTGCACCACAACCAACAG